GCCTAAGTGGCTAGGATAGACTGGCTGCACAGCTAACCGCTCATTAATATTAACTTCTGTATCCCACAAGCAGTGCAAAACTGCGTTAAAAGTATAACTGACAGAAAATGTAGCAAATTGCGATTTCAAGCTCTTTCAAAATACTTACGGATTTTCAAGTTGTAAAAGAAATTTTGGTTTCAGAGTGCCACGAGCAACGCATGCCGCAACTCGAAAACACCATATGCATCGCACAGTCAGTGGAGTGTGCCGGATACCCACCATGCTCAATCGGAAAATCCTGTCGACTATGCGCATCCCGACAATCCATCACAAGCAAGCGTTTCTAGATTAACTGATTCTATTCTTCAGAATCCTGAAAAATATCAGACTCAGTTGCAGTTACTGCTTCGAGCTAAGCAACCAATTTACAATCCTGAGCCACATCTGTTTTCACTGCAGGAATATGCGGCCAAACGTCTCCCAGGATCCAGTGATTTGCGCGCAACTCAAAATTATTCGGGAAGTGAAGAGGGAGAAGGCGATGGATATCCAGAAGATCCTACTGCACAGCAGCTGCCCGAACAATCCCCGCGAATTCATAACTCGAATCCTGAGCATCCTGCTCCATTGGAAAGTTTAGTCAGGGGAATGCTGCAATGGCCACTGGTAACTCAGACGGTGTTGTCACAGATGCCGAGACAACTGGCTGATTCAGGACCCGTGCTTGCTGATTTAGCAAACGAAAAAACTTCTAACAGTGACGATAATCAACAAGACCAGCTGGAACACCCGGGGAACATCAGTGCTATGCAGGTGCAACGTTATGCAGATCACAGCCTCACAGAGGTTTCTTTCCCTGATTTCATACTGGTTATGTTATTTGCGGTGATAGCAGGAAACCTGGTGATACCAGGGAAATAACAATAGCGTTAACAGTTATATGGTTTTAATAATGGCTATTGGTAATTATGTGAATTTTAATAACGATTACTAGCATTTATGCAAAGCTTCAATTTTCGCTTAAAATTGCGGCGCATATTTACTTATTGTCTGGGATCGGGCTATCTTTCCAAATCAACACTGTCTGTTTGTCATGCCTGCAATTTACATCCCTTTCATATTCTATGTGATGTTTTCAGAAACACTTCTTTCCATCGCGTGTTGAGCTCCTGCATCATTTCATTCATTTTATGAGAGATGTTCGCAGTAAAAACTTTGCATAATGCTAATATGTAACCCAGGCTGGGACGCACCAGGCTCTCCGGTGTGATGGTGCATTTTTGCACCAAACTCGCTGAACGCTATTAGCAGGAATGATCCCTACGCTGTAACCTAACACTTGGGCTCATATTGGCCGTGCTTTGGCCCCTTCCGGCATGCAGGAGGAAGGGCGTCAGTTGGGACGAAAGTGATGCACTGTAGAGCCGCACGGACATCCAGATGCATGATTACCGTTTTTTTGTATGAAGTCCGGTCGTTTTTTCGGCAAATGCTCGCTTTGCGAAAAAATGACAAATTCAAATTTTTTGAAAAATGCAAAATTTCCAGTTCATTAAAAAGTGGAAGTATTGTTCGAGCGATCATTTGTCAAAAAATCCACGTTCATTTACATACACGATTGCGGTTAAGGTCTGAGCTGTGAAAGATTTTTTTGAAAATATGCAAATTTTCAGTTCATTAAAAATTGAAAGTATTGCTCGAACGGTCGTTTTCAAAAAATCCATGTTCATTTGCATAAACAATTGCGACTCAGGTCCGAGTGCCAAAAATGCACGTACACTTGCGTACGCAATTAGGGCTTAGGTCAGAATTGCTAACGATTTTTAGTTCAGGAGCTGCTTGAGGCTGTGGTTGGGGAGCTAGAGAGCTGAGTTTAAAATTTTTATCTCGCGCTTGCATTGAGAATACTCCTGCAAAGTTTCAGCTTTCTATTTTGCCTGGTTCGCGAAATCGTTTCCCGCCAACATATTTCTTTGGTGGTCCCGTACGCAGGGTCTGGGCGCGTGTGGAGAAAGATCTTAAAAGGGGAGAATGACATGCGAGGTAGGAAGATATATCCAAAGTTTCAGGCTCCCAGCTTTCCTGGTTGCTGAGATGAAAGTTGGTGACAAAATGCACTCGCTTTCCGAACACACACACACACACACAGGCAGCCTCTCGACAATATGCTTTTTTGCTGGCTGTAGCAGCGCTACACAGACAGCCTCTCGACATATGCGTTTTTGCTGTCAGCAAAAACGCATAAAAAGAAATATGTTGGGGAAATAAGTCTTTGGAAAGTTTAATATGCTAATAAATATAAATGCAGCTACTTAATACGCTTTTGTTTTTTTTTTTTTGACTGCTCATCATTTTTCCAGAGCGTTGCTTTATCGAGATCGCAGCCGCGATTCAGTGATCATTGGGCTCAACGTCAAGCTGCAGCTCTGTGCAAAGCGTTGGTAGTACAGTTTAAGGAAGTCAGTGAAGTTGCTAATTTATTTTTTATTACAGGCACGCCACTTATCAGCTGCATCCAACCCACACAAAAAGAGTGAAGTGAAGAAAAAAAAGAAGAGGATTGAGGAGGGTGTACGAGAGGATGGGAGTTAAAACGGTCAAATAATTTGTGTTTTTGGATATCGAATATTATATGTGTCTGTACTGTTCAAAATGCTGTAGTGACAAACAATGCGGTAATTACTAAAACTCGGCTCGGCTCGGCTCGGCTCGGCTGGTGTCTTACACGACCAGCCAAAAATTTTTTGTATGGAGGACGGGT